AGAGTACCCTTAAAAAAGCAGCCAAATATCCACTTGCTTGAATGGCGTAAAATGAGGGACGTACTTCACCCCCGCTGCGCTTGGAACAGCCAATCTATCTGATTGCAGCAGCCGGGTCTCCAAAGCAAATCGCTTTGAGCCCCTGGGTGAGTTTGACCCAACCGCTTACTTGGCCGAGCGCAGCAGACAAATTCACGGCGAGAACATAGTGCAGCACCTGGAGGTAAAGCCATGTGATGTTTTTTCGTTGATTTCGCTGGGTGAGGTTTTTGGAGGGAACTGTCGAAATCCATGTGGTTTCCCACATTGTTTTTGGGTCCCCGAAAAAAAGACGCACCACCCATTTTAGTCTTTGCTTTGGATGTCACAACTGCAAGTGGAAGAAGGGCCGCAGGGCACCGAACTCTCGGCACGCGCCGAGGTAGGTCCCTGGACGAGGACTGAGCCGGGAATTGCCTTGATCACCCGTCAGGGATGGTCGTCAAACTAGATGGCAGCAAAGTGGACGAGCAGCCAAAACGGCTTGAACTGGTTGCCATCTACTTTCACCAACAGAAAATCTGGGGTCACTATTTTGACGGTTTCTGGGGGTTAGCAAAGTCAGAAAATGGAATCGGTTGTTTCCCTTTAACCCACCACTCCGGAAATGATTTTGATGGTAAAATAATGAAGCCAGAAACCCCTACCCTAGTTGCCATGGTCAAACAATCTTTTGGGGTTCCCCAACGGTAGGAGCGCCATGGGTTTTGGTTCGACGCAGCCGTTTCACCACTCCCCTTGGACCGGGCTGTGGGGAATCCAAAGCCAACTGGATGGAGAATCCACGTCAAACCACCTGACAAAGACGTTCCCAAAGATGGTACCCAGAATGGCACCCTGGTAAAAGAAACCAAAGACTAAAGCTTGCCCACTTCTGTAATTGGAATGGCATATTCGGGAATGCGTCAAAATAGGAGACCCCCAAACTTATAATTGTCCTTTTGTTTTCCCTTTCGACCAACCTTAAACAGGACTCGCGTACCACACCCTGGGTCTTACTGGGCAGTCCTCATTTCGCCCCTGACTCCAGGAGTCCGGACGAGGCCAGGTTCCCGTATCCGATGGAACCATAACACGCCCCTTTTTTGGAAGTGCCATAGGCTTCATTTGCCTGGGGTTAGGGATGATGGACCCCCTTGAAAAGTACCACTGGTGGGATCAGAAAGACGGTCGGTGGGCGGTCGGAAAAGCACGGGTGCCCTCCAGGAAGAGTCGCCATCAGGTAAGCCGCCCGCTCGAAACAACGCCTTTGGGCAGGAGGTATTTACCACGGGGACAACCAGGTGTTGCAAAGCGGAGTTCCAGGGGCAAGTCTTGGGTGGGTGGACATCTCTTTTGGGCCAATATAGCCGGTCCTGACATTCCATTGGTGAAGATCCGTTTGCTAGGGGGAGGGGCGGGAGCCCAAATAAGCCCTTATTGAGCCCGTAAGAAGGCCTTATTAAGGGCTTATTTGGGCTTGGTTTACGTTGCCGTTTCTGAATTGGTATGATTTTGGATTGGAGACCCTTTGGTGGACATCATTTAGGTGGAGGATTTATTTCCGCCGACATGTCTTGGCCAATTGCCCATGCTTGAAATTTCTTAGAAGAGGTCGGATGTCAGGATGACTCGCGTGCAATGGATGTGCTTCAACAGGGTTGCTTTTTCCGCTACAAACGGCCAACCAGAGCCCAAAGGTACAAAACCCGTTTGTTTGTCGGGGATCCCCAATCTGATGGCTTGTCTTTTTCCTTCCTTCCCGAAAGCTTAAAGGGAGATGGTTGATTGACACCTCCCAACGGGAGGTCCAAAATGGCGCGGTCCCAGTTGGCCTCAAAAAGGGAGAGGGGCCTGGCACGCCAACTGCGAGATGGTGAAGCTCAAGCCGCGCAAGCCCAGATTGCCACATGGGGGCTGCTGAGGGATGTTGCGCGAAGGAGGAAGTTTGGCAGGCAAGTGTCAGTGTATCTGAGGCACCTGTCTATGCTCAGGCGCTGGCAAGTGTCAAAAAGGGAAGCCCGAATTCGTGGATGTCAAAGTCGCAAAACACTGCGCTTGGCACCTTTACAGGACACCTGCAAACGAGGATGTTCACACACAACACAACACAGCACAACACAACACAACACAACACAACACAACACAACACAACACAACACAACAAAACACAACACAACACAACACACCACACCACACCACACCACACCACACCCCACCCCACACCACACCACACACCACACACCACACACCACACACCACACACCACACACCACACACCACACACCACACACCACACACCACACACCACACACCACACACACCACACACCACACACCACACACCACACAACACACAACACCACACACCACACCACACACAAGACCACACACCACACCACACCACACCACACCACACCACAACACAACACAACACGACACAACACAACAGAACACAACACAACAGAACACAACACAACACAACACAACACAACACAACACACACACACACACACAACACACACACAACACACACACACACACACACACACACGCAAAACAACAAACCCCGTGCTTTGCACTCGTTCGACTAGATCAACAAAGAGGATTTCACATCCCCGAGCAACCCATACCACCAATCATGGCTTGTTTCTTCAGGCCGTCATTGCAAATGCTGCTGCGGACGACTTGGGCGCAGCGTCGGACAAGCTCGGGGAGTGCACGAGTCGTCAAGACGAATGGGAGTTGGTGGACAAGGTGAGGGTGCCAAGCGCTTCGCGTTTGGTTTTGGCGATTTTGCAGAGTGCTGATAGGGGATGAAAACTCACTTGGCTCCGGGTCGTGGAGTTTTCGTGGAGTTTTAGAAAACCAATTCTGCAACCTCGCAGATTTTGGCGTGGATCCAATGTGAAGCTTCGGAAATCACTCGATTTCGTGTGCCTCAAAATATGAGAAGCCAAGTCCGGTGCCGGGTTTGGAGCCTTCTGTGCCATGACTTGGTTCTGCGGTTTGACCAAACCCACCTTTCGGCCTTTTGACGGAAAATGGATGTAGTTAAAGGGTCTTAAGATTCGGGCCCTCCAAAAATGGTGGTGCTCCCTTTGGCTTCTCTGTAAAACACACCCACAAGTGGTACCCTAAAACAAGACACCTCTCATTGGCGTGTTTTCCACCGACCAGGTTGGTCAACGCTCAATGGTTGATTTGGAAGTTTGGACTTGGTCTTTAAATCCACCCTTCCAACAGCCAGTTCGGACTCTCTAATTTTCCAGGCATGTCCTTTTCGGGGGGTAATTTCGCAAACTTGACTGTGGCGCGCATGGACTTTCCCTCCCCATGTAGTTGCAGTTCTTCTTGGGGCTGAGCTGTCCGGACTGGCCGTTGAACCCGCGAGGAAGTCATCCGCGGGATTCCGCTGAAGGTTTCCTTAAGATTCTTTGGCAAACTTTGGCGGACATCTCCAATCGACCTGAAGGATAAGGAGTGCGAAGACCTGTGGATGCAGTCAAAACCTGCGGAGTACTTCGATGTCTTTCTGTCACATACCTGGATGAGTTCTGGCAGATGGAAGATGATTTCGTTGCTGATTCAGTCCAGCTGGCCCTTCGTGGCATTTTCCTGGGCCTGCACTGTGCTGATTTTCTGCGCCCTGTGCCTTCTGGACATCTTGCCAATGCCATTCTTTTACCGAGCTGAAGTCCTGGGATTTAATGCTCTGTGCCTCTGTCAGATCGACCTTTTGACGATTTTCCTTTTGGTAACCGTTTTTTCGTCATGGTCCCAAAAGGTGATCACCCTCATTCGAGTCTGCCTCTTTTTGGGGCGCCCGGGGGTTGTGTTAACGGGAAGCACTTATTTTTTTTGGGGGTCCCCTCCAAAACCGGCATGCCCATTTTTCCTGGTCAGTGCAAGTGAGGTGCCCCCTTGGTCCCTGGCTGCTTTTCCCAGGCAGCTTGGTGCCCGCACTGTCCATCTTTTTGTGGCCATCCATGCCAGAAGTCGGATGCCTAAGGTCCGAGTGTTGCTTTTTGGATGCTCAGTCGCCTCGAGTCGAACTTTTTAGATATCTTTCCTCGACTCTTTTTCTTTAACTCGTCGTTTTGTGGGGAACCCTGTGGATTTTAAACGCAAGCCAAATGGACGCCAACCTCAAGGTCCCCTATTTTGAGACAAGCCCCTTTTTTCACCTCGGATTCAGAAATCGGTCAACGATGTTCGCAACGAGATCCTTTCGATCCTCTTTGGATTCCACCAGAAGGATCACCACTCGATGGCTTTTATTTTCGACGGGCTTGGGTTGCCAGTGGTTTTGTCAGCTTAAACCGGCTCTCAATCAACGTGAGATAGTTTTCAGGGGAAGCAATTGGAACACCCAAGTGAGGATGTGGTTTCCATCCACCAGAGGGATGATGTGCTCAAGGAACGGGGGATCTACGGCTTGGGTGGCTTCCTGAAAGTCTCCCGCGAGCTGCGCGTGCTTTGGACCACGCCGTATCCAACGAGGTTGTGGTGTATCTCGCTGCAAATCTTTGTCTTACCCCCAACCCACCCTCACCCACCCAACCCCCCCCCCCCCCACGTCCTTTTGGAGTCCTTTAAAAAGGGTATGTTTGGGAGGGGTGTGGTGGGGGGTGGGGGGGGGGTCAGAGTTATATGGCTTTGGGATCCTTCTGCTTGGGTCACAGCAAAGCCCCGCGCTTCTGGGCCAAGTTGACAGGACGCCAACCGATTTTTCCGCTGGGCTTCCTGGTTGGGTAATACAAACCCAATCCTGTTCAATCCTTGTAGTTCCCTTGAATTCAGGACAATCGGAGGACACCAAGCCATTTGATCGCGTCTTTGGCTTGACCGTTTTTCCAAAAACACCAACTAATCAACTTGAACTGTCTTCGCAGGGCTCACTTCGCAAGTGAGGCATGTTTGAGGTGGCCGCATACCGCAGTGTTAACCCACAAGGGCGTATCAACATTACACCCATTGCTGTGGAGCTGAGCGCGTTGGTGTTCATGCTTGGGACTTTGGTTGTATCCATAGGCAGGGCTGCGAAAGGCAATGCAGGATTTTTAGTCGGTTCTGACTGTTCCTTGTGAATTTACAGCCTCTTTTTGATGCCCTGAGAGGCCTTTGGTGCAGGCATGCTGCTCATGCTGCGAGAGCGACCCCATTCATCACGCTGAGCCCTTGGGCATTTCTCGCTTGCACGGTGCCAGGTCTCTTTGTCATACATTCTGTGCGGAGGAACATGGAAGAGAGGATTCAGATGATTGATGGCCTGAACCAATTCGATGCGGAACAGGCTGGCTGCAGATCCGAGTTTGATAAGAGCTTCATCTTCACCGGCATTCAGGCATGGTTTGGCAGCTTGCAGGGCTTTAACCACTATGTGAGGACCACACTCCGGAGTGAACTCTTAAGCAGATGCAAGTGCGTTTTCCCGACCCGATATCTTGCGATGATCCTGCTCCCACCAGTGAGCCTGACTCTGGAAGTTGCTTTAGGCCTGTACAAAGGGGGTGCGCCACTCCGCTCTATCATGGCCTTCGCGGCTTCCAATTTGTGCCTGCACGTGGTTTGGCTGACGCTCGATGTCAAATTGGCGACTGGACTCTCCCAGCGCTTCTACGAGCGCGGCAGCACCGTCTGCATAGATTTCGCCAAGTCTCTATCTATTTTCCTCGCTGTCGTCATTTTTTCCTACTCAGGGTTACTTGCGGCTGCAGCCAGCAGTGCAACCAGCGAGGGGGCTGTGGTCCTTTGGATGAGCACGGCATTTGCCACTTTGGGATTTGCTGTGTGGCGTGGCCTAGTGTGATCTCGGTCTTGGCAGTTTGAACCGTTTCACCCAACTTTTTGAAGGTGATCTCCGCTGGCTAAGACGTTGTTTTTGGTTTGACGCACCAGGAGCATCCAAGTGGAGTGCCAGGGTTTTCTGATCTTGCCATCAACCAAAGGTGGAGGCTTGGCCGAAAAGTTAAGCGGCACGCGAGCAACGGATGAAGACTGGGCTGGCCTTTATTGCGGGCACCTGTCTTTTGTTGGCTTTCTTTTTTGTCCTCCTGTTTTCCGTCTTTATTGGGGCGTCAAACATGTCAGGTGCATTGCCCATGTGGCAAGCTATGCATCGGACTCCTTGGGTTGGCTTCCCGGGACCTGTGAGACATGACATTGCTTTTGTTTGGGTCTCATTTGCCCAACGGCTTCTGCTTGGAAGGGAGCCAAGGAGCTGGGGGTATCTAGATTCCTGACAGAGGGAGCTAAGGAGCCGGGAATTCCGTGAAGACAATTTCAAGCGGCATACAGGCATTCCCTTTTTCGGTCTGGGCCGCTGGCCTCTTTGAGGAGTTTCAGCTGTGCTCAGCGCAAGAAAGATTCCCCCGCTAGAAGCACCCCGAGCACTTGACCCGAGCCCGAGTCAGCGAGTCGCAGGCGATGACTTCGGTGCCGCGGCGATCGACCTGGCGGCCAAGGCAGCCTCCGGTCGGCTGGCGACGTGCGCACCTGCGCACGTGCGGGTCTGGTGGTTGCCAACTGGGACAGAATCAAACCCTGGCAGCGAAAATCATGGAAACCAACAACCGGGGCGACCGTCAGACTCTCATTTGCTATTGGCTGTGTGGAAACGAGTTGTTTCGGCCCTTTGAACCTGTCAAATATGCGGGGCTAGATAAATTACAAACATGACGTGGACTGGGATGAGTTTCCCAGCTGGGCGCGCTCCATGCTCCTGCAGGTGGAGTGTGCCGGAGAGGCTCGGGGCAAAATCACTTGCGTTTCATGTGACTCTTGCAAAGATGGAGGTTTTACAGGCTAAGAACTCATGGAATGAGTAGAACCAGGGCACTCGCTTGGGGATATGGTCATGGACTGTTGAGAGTCGTTTGGACGTCGAATGGTTTTGGTTTGCCTTTCCGAAGTACAGCTGCCTTCGCATGAAAAAAAATAATACCTTCGGCCTTTGAATTGTTTAAACCCCAAACCCTAAACCCTAAACACTAAACCCTAAACCCGGTTATTCCAAGATGCTGAACCGCAGGAGTTTTGACCACGATCCGAGGCGGTGTTCTCCCCGCGCTTCGTGGCCGTGATCACCGCCTCGCTGACCAAACTGGGCGGGGAGCGAAGCCGGTCATTTTCCCAAAGCCGAGTTTCTGATCTGAGGGACCCGTAGCAAGAGACTCAACATTTGAGGGATCACTTTTTTCGGGGGCCATCAGGGAAAGCACCAAAAGATGTGACTTTCCCCCACTAAACGGCAAAAGTTACCCATGGTCATTTGAATTTCATTTGCGGAATATTGAAGCAGAAGGTCCGTGTCAAAAAGAAGCGATCATTTAGACCCATCCAACTTTTCACCTGGGCCGACAGGCAATGGGCCAAACTGCAATGGGGGTCGAAAGGAACGTAACATCGTAACATCGTAACATCCTTTTGGGGTGCAAGGTAAGCCTTTGGCGACGTTTCGATCAGGCACCAAGTTCCCGGAGTTTGCTCCTCGCGCCGAGGGCTCGGAGGTCTTGTGGGGTTCGGAGCGGAGAGCGGTGGGGAAGCTGGGTGTTTGATGCTTTCACCTTTTCGGATGTGATGGATCCTGAAACATGTCATGTGTCTGTGCGGAGGCGGAGGCTCAAAGACCGACCCGGTCTAGAAATGGTCTGAGTGTAGGGTTGAAGTGAGCACACTTGCTGCAAATGACGCACGGTGTCCTAAGATGGGTTGCTTAGCCTTACTTTGGCCAGATGATAGTGGTTTCCCTTGTTGTAGTGGTATTGTGGATGAAGACATCGGCTCTCCCGCCCAAAACCCAGCTAAGTTGTTGGCCACGACGTGTAGCTAGATTGGCACATACTGTGGTCCAAGGCCGTACTCGGGCCCAAATTAGGGTGCGGCGTGCTATTCAACCAACTGAACTCATGAGCATTTGTAGTTCTTTGGCCCACTCCCTTGAGCACCAGGGCCTGTATAGCGATACCTTTACAGAGGCTGTTTCTCAAATAGGTGAACCCCAAAATGGTGGTTGCTCTTTCCTTTCACTGCTGTGCCAACCAACACATATGCTTTGAAAACCTCCCCCCACCCCCCCAGGTGCTGTTGGAATTTTCTTTGTGCCGCTCGCTGAGGTGGTGCTGTGCCTGCTGAAGATGCAGCAGCACTACCTCACCGACTACAGCGAGGCGTGGGATTTTTGTGCCTTCAAATCCGAGATGGATGGAGCAGGGACCTGCGATTGCTTCTCAATTCTCATTTTGGTCACTCGTTGGTTTCCCACATCTTCACATCTACGGGGAATTGTACGATGTAGTTTCACTCTGGTGTTGCTTCTTCTCCCTGTTTGCACCATTTTGGGCGGTTCCCCAATGGAGGACCTTGCTGTTGGGTACCGGGGGGCAACAAAGGCATCCCCATCATGTTGGGGTCCCCCGAGTCTAGGAAATCCAATCGTGCGTTGTTTCCCTGGGCGTTGTTCTCCGTCCCGCACATGGTTGTGGACCCTTGTTGCTTAGATTGCTCCGAGCCTCACTTTTTCGGAGGAAACGCCCTGTGAACCCGCCAGAGGTTGATGATTTCGTTTTTTGAGGAACACAGCCAAATTTTTGGTCGCTCAGTTGCTGAGGGCATCGAGTTTGTGCGCGATCGCCTGGCAGACTCTTTGCAGCTGCCGGGTCCCGAGGCAACAGCACGGACCCTGTTTGTTGAAGCCCCAAAATTGTTCGCACTTGTCCGTTTAGATTCCATAGAATCGCCTGGGAAGGGTAGTGCACACCCCTCTTGGTTCTGTTCAAAGCGCTTTTCACATTCGGGAGTTTTGTTGTGAAGGGAAGTCAGGATAAATGAACCAGTGGTTGATGAGTGAGAGGGGGGTGCTTGCCCGTAGAGACAACACTTTCTCGGAGGAAGACCCTTCGCCAGCTTCCACTTAGATCTGTGGTCAGGCCTTTGAAGCCGCCTGTGGCTTTGGGTCCCTCTGATCCTTCTGATTCCATGGTGATTCCCATGGCTGGGACCTCAGGACATGATTTTTCCATGTTTCAGCTTTGGCTAAAATAGGGTCGCCACAACCTAACATGACTCGACATGTTGGTTGGCATTTAGGTGGGTTAAACATCATCTTTTCGAATGGCCTGTATTGATTGGTGCCCCTTGGTGGTCTAGGACGCTTTCCACCGGTCCCTTCTTATTTCAGGGGCATTTTCAGGTGCTGACAAGCCCGGGTACGTGGCTGGCTGCAAGTTCCTGATCCTGAGGCTGTCGAAAAGGGAAGCTCCCGATTTGGACAATTCTTTTGAGTCCAGTTTTCTTCCAACCCACACTTTTTACTGGGGAATGTCGGCCGAAATGCGAGGCTGGCCGATGTGATCTACTTGCAACTGGGTTGCCATGGGTTACCGCCTAGGACAAAATTCCGTGGCAAAGCCCGGCGAACTTGGCCGAACTCGGCCGCGCTGGCACTCCGCACGAGGCTCCGGCATTCCTCGATTTCCAGCTCGGCAGGGGGCCGAGAAGCCCGCAATCGAAATGGAAGCTGAGGTTGTTCAAGTTTTGGAACTGCATTGCTTTTGTGGAAAGACCGGCAGCTTGCTGTTGCACTTCTGGGATAGTGGGGACTTAGTTGGGAAGGCCTAGTAGCATCACAGAAGCGGGCAATTCCCACAAGGCGATGTGTCAGAGGGTGCCGCTCGAACTTCCAGTTTCCCAAGTGCAATTCGCAGTCGACCAGGGTCGAAGGGTGGACTCTGGCCTTTGGTGAGTTTGCTCTGGGGTGTTTGAATGGGACGCACAAGGACTCCTCTGGACGCCCAACACCTCACAAACCCGCCCTGAGAGAGGCCTGGGGATTAACAGGTGGGCTTCGGGGATGCGCTCGACATCAAACGACCTGCGAGCGGGGCCCAGGTGTATGCCTCTCCGACGGTGCTGGGATTCGAGTCGGACCGGCACTCATTGCGCATGTCTTTTGGGGGGCAACCGCTTTTCTGTTGGCTTTTAGGGAAGCCGAGCATGTTGGTGTTTCGACTCTTCTTTGTGGATTCGCCGCAAGAAAGGTGTGTCAGCAAGCCTTCTCTTGCGGTGTAGGATGCTTCTTCGTTGTAGTACTTTGATTCATTCAAGAACCGAGAAGGTACGGTTTAGTGGGAACCTTCCCAGCTCAAGCTTTATTCGGGGGCCATCCCTCGGGTATTTTGGGGATTTTCTCAAGGGTTTTGAATGGATGTCATGTGCTTGGTTTTCAAGGTTTCCAACCTGGCACAAAGGGAGAACCCAGATTTGCTACAAAAACCAAGGAGGCGACCAAGATGTCCATGTCCTCTGGGCGAAATGGGTGGATGGATGGTGCAAGCAACGGCCTCGACCGAAACCTTCGGGTGTCATTCTCCAGGGGCTCTCACTACCGAACCACTACCTCCGAGGGACCTTCAACCCATCTTGATACCCTGCAATCGTCGCAACAGCGGCTGCGACCTCCTCGTTTTTGTTTGTTTGTTTTTTTTTGATTCCGTATGGTCTGATATACGAGATGTTTTCTCCAATTTGACTCGTTTCCCCGGTTGGATTTCGGGACAGGAACCGATTCGGTGATTTTCGCGGCCACGTGTTGTGGCACGAGTTTCACATGTCCACCCCGTAGGGTTGGGACTTTGGGACCCAAGGTTGGCTCCTTGGGCCGGAGTCCAATGCGACTAGGTGGTGGGCATGTACTGCTCTTGGTTTTTTGCATAGCCCTCCGGAGCTCAAAACGAATTTCGACCTTTCGACCTTTTGGTTTTCAGTTCGATTTTTTCGAGGTCCCATTTTCATTTCATGTGTCCTTTGGGC